AAATACCAAACAACAGAAACCAAGAATTTAACATCTAGGCCTATAATATATAACATATAAAAATATATTATATTTATAAAATATAACTATACTGAAAACAGCATACAACAACCAGAATATGAACTGGACAAACTGACCTGACTGAATGAGACACACAAGGGAACAGATATAGTGGCTTGGCCAAACCAATTTACACACAAGGGGAAAACAAAATGGACGCCAACTACAACTACTACAAGTAAAACAAACTAAACCCAAAATCCCCCTCCAACATGGCAGCACATGGTAGGGCTTGATTGGCAGGCCACAGGATATAACAATCCTCCACCCTTGGTCACACCTTTCTTCCACCAGGACAGACCTCTTCCACATGGTAACACAAGAAACAATGATTAATATAACAGAAAATATTTACTTAACCCTACAATGTGAAAATGTGTGCACTCCATTTAAACAGGGTATGGCCAAAAGCAAATAAATGTATATTATAACTAAAATAAACTATGTAATCTGTAATTTGAAATTATGAATTGTTTGAGGTGTGGCTAACGGCAAAAAGAACCTAACCTGTGTACTTAACGAAACATGGTAGCCTTGTGTACTGTATTACCATTGCTGGCTGTTACCCTGTGTGGCTTGGGCCATCATACTAATACATGTTACTATCCTTGATAACAGAATTATTTTTTGTAGACCCACATACGGAGTTGCTACAGCGGCCCGGGTTTGAATCCGACCTGCGGCCCTTTGCTGCATGTCATCCCCCCTCTCTCTACCCCCCTTTCCTGTCGATCTCCAGCTGTCTCTATCAAATAAAGGCATTAAAAGGCCAAAAAAATAACTAAAAAAAAAAAAATAAAAATTAAGATAATTTTATGGTGATTTGCATATTTGTCCATAGTCACACACTACGTATTCTGAATGTATAAAAGGGGAGAGGTTAAGTTGTGTTTAATTCTTCCTCACACAAGCGGATTCATATAAAATCAGTTATCTGTGATTACACAAATTGCTATAATCCAACATAATCTAAAGAAAACAACTATTTCATCCAACTCAGGATGTGTTAAGCCATGCAGAAAAACTCTAAACAAATACAGAAATCTCTTACAGCTGCAGATGTCAACATATTTTTAGAAACTGACATTCTTTTCATTGTTTACTGGTGTCCTGTGAGGTTTATTAGACTAACTCTTTAGCACTTTGTAGTTGTAGCTTGGTTGATCCTTGTCACTGTCAGTGAAGGGCCACTCCTACGCTACGTGCTCACACACTACATTAGAATAGACTAGATACACAGACACATCATGTTTTTATAAGTATTAATTAGAATTTTTAAATATGTAACAACATTTTCAATCAATTCAATCCAGTATTAACTTTATTACATTATTTTGTTTAGTAACATGCTTTGAGAGCTTTTCAGATCAATTGTTTTAATACTGTATATCCCTCTGTCTTTACAACTCTGGATAAAATCTGGTGTAACACTGCCCTCGTGTGATCCTCAGAGGCTCCTACTGCCAATGGAGGCTGCATTGCCTTTAGTAGAAAATAAAATAAATGCACTCTTAATGTGCATCAGGCAAGTATCTATAATAATTGTAATCGACCTTCTTGCCAAAAGCACAATTTTGATTAAAATATATAATAATATAGTTTTTGTAGCAAGCCCACCACTAACTTTAAAAGTACATCAGTAGTACATCATAAATCAGTTGTGTCCAGAGGATATGCAGAAAATGAAGGTGAAAATGGTTTAATAAGATAGTGAATATACTTTCACACTGGCGCAGTAAGGCTGTCATTGCTTGATATCAGTTCTCGCTGGGGGATTAACCGCACCTTTATGTATGTTTGAGAGCATATAGAAAGAAGCCATTTGTGGATTTTGATTATGTAGGAATCTTAGTTCAGTTTCAAAAATCCAACAATTTGTTTTTTTTCTGTGAGCAACATTAACCTATAAAGTACATCAGTTGAGCAATAAATAAAAGTAAATAACTATTTCCTTAAGATTGGTCAATACAGTGTCTCAGTATAAGTCATAGTTAGAATTCTTCACCTTTATTCAGGACATGTCTTCAGGCTCATATAACACCCACACTGCCACCCCCACATATCCACCACAAACACTGCTGCCACACCACATCAGACAATCCCCTGTGCACCCAATGCCTGCCACCAGGTGGCCAAAAGCACATGCCATACAATTTTCAATAAAGTGTATATTAAGATACTGTAGCATACCCAGCTGCAAATTAAAAAGTTTATCCATTGAACCATACATTTGTCTTTCTTCTCAAGTCATAGTCTTCACCTGTGTTCAGAACAGGTCTGTCAACACTTGGAGACAGCAAACCTGTTATGTTGCTTCAGGCTCATAACTCAAGAAAAAAAAAGGCCATTTGTTAGCCAAGGCCCTATTTGTTTCCTTAGTGGAAAAGACAGTTGTCCAGTTGACTGACCTTACTGAGTACATCAGTAGTGTCCTAAACAGCAGGACGTGAAGGTAAAAATGGTTTAATAAAATAATGAATATACTTTGAAACTGGTTCAGTGGTATCATTGCTTGGTATCAGTCCTAGCTGGGGGATTCAGCTTCCTTGACAAGGTTAAAACAATGAATTGTAACAGTAAAGATATATGAAGTATGTGCAGCTGCCAAAGAACAGGAACCCAAATCTCTCAATAACAACAGTCTCATAGATAGTGTTTGGTTTTATGACCTTGTTTAAGTTTTCCATGTTTTACAAAGTGAGACCAATATATTCAAAATCACTTTTATGCATGGCTATGCTATGGCTAAATGATTACATTGAGTCACACAATAGCAACTTTTGACCAAGAAGGCACTACTTTTCTCTCAGTTTAACCAGGAATCTGGTTTGGCAGGCTTTTCAACAGATGGATAGTATAAAGCTCTCATACTCTGCACAGCCAGCCTCTCACCTCATCCACATTATCTGCTGAAAGACGATGGGTAAGTCCACCTATTTTCTGTTAAATGACTGAAAGGTAAAGTTCATCAAAAACTATGATTAATTTACAGTAGTTGTCTAGTTATTGTCAAAGCCCTTTTAATTATACGCACAAGTAATAATGAAGATGTTAAGATGTCTACTGTACTCCTATAAGAACCTGATAATACTGTATATCATAAAATGATTGTTTATACAAAGCCAACAAACTGTTTTTATATTTCATGATTATTATGAGTCTTGCCGAAAAAATGTATGTCTTGTGAGCTCTGTAAGAAGGTTATCCTAGGTTATAGAGCATCTAAGGTATGTATCCAAAGAAGTGTTTGTTAATGTGTTATTTTAGATTTCATCAAATGGGCATTTTAAGGTGTAAATCACATTGTTGGTGTAACAGAATATACATTATTTTATAATTAATTATTTGCATTATCTTCAGGAATAAAAAAAAGGTTTTAATGACATTGTTGTACACTAAACACAATTGTTATATGGGACAAAACCATCCTGTAATGGGGATAGCAATGTCTGTCTGGGGCTAGGAGCAACAATAACTTGTACCAGCTTGTTTTCTCAGGTTTTGTCCTCACCACATACTTTCTCCCTATATGGATGTGCAGATCACACCACTTCTGTCAATCCAAGACCCACACTTACCTTACAGCAAGCGACCAAAGTGATAGAGCAACTTTATGGAGTGACCATAACTGAGATCTCCACCCTGCCTAGTTATATTGACCAGAACTTTCTTGTGGTGGACAAAGAGGGTACCAAGCATGTCCTGAAGATCATGAACTCAGAAGAGAGTAAGAGGACTACACTGCTGGAGGTGCAGACCCTCGCCATGTCCTTTCTTCGCCAGCATGAAGTTCCTGCTCAGACAGCTGTGCCCACCACCACAGGGCAGCTAATGAGTATGGAGGAAATAGGTAACAGCAAAATATCTCTGCAGTCGCATTTTATAAAATAAGTTGAGTCACAAAGGGAAGCATATGCGACAAGAGGTGGGTAACGGGCCCCTATACACAAAACAGTCCCAATCCAAAAACAACTTATATGTCTAAGAAGCAACCAGTGCCAGTATACACCCATCACTACTGCCTGTATGCGCATAACAGGTTTTGAATTAAGTGTGATGCACAGACACAACATACAAAAGAATGTTGTAGAATGTTACAGCTAGCCTGGCTCTTTTCAAAGATAAACGTTTTCAGGCATTCAACAGAGACTCAAGAAAGTTATTGCTCACCGCCCCAAAAATTGTCCATCATAAACCACAGCGAAACAGTAAATAGTTGTTTTTACATGTAGATTTTTAACGTATTAAACAACAAAGATACAACACGTTAAGTGAGCTTTAGAGGTGTAATGTAGGTGGATTTTGTTATCTTTTGATTGAGCCAAGAAAGCGGTTTCCCCCTGTTTCAAGTCTTAATGCTGAGCTGAGGGCAAAAAAGGAGTAAAAGGAATAATCACTACAACCAAAATACACCACTCACCCAACCTAAAGATGACCACACCTAAGGGTATTTTTGCAGTTACCTTGTCACAGTACAAGGTAACTGCACAAATATCCTTCCTTTTAATCTTGCAAGGCATGTGGGTGGCTGCTACCTTAATAAAGTACAGGGAATGTCACCTGAATCTTTGCTGACTTCAGGGCATTCTGAGAAAGAGACAAAGGCAATATAATCACCTGAGGTATTTCAGGATTTCCCAGGAGCTACGTATACAGATTTGTCATGGCTGTTTGAAAAGTCAACTAGGAGAGACACTGGTTTGTTGGTTAGATTACGTTGAGAATTTACAGGTATTGGTTGAATTGTTGCGATCGCAATTTCATGAAACCAGCATCAATAGCTCTATGATTTTAGAATATGTATTCATTTTAAACAAGACTGTACAGAGTTATGATGCTATACTGAACTGAAAATGTTCCTGTTACCTTATTAGACTGCGGACATGGTGTTCAGACCTACTGTGTGAGGTTGTTGACCTATATCCCTGGAAAAACAATTCAGAGGTCCCAAGTTACAATGCAGGATCTTTATCATGTTGGGAAGTTGGCTGCCACTGTTGATAAGACACTGCAACAAGTAAGTTCAAAGGTCATCATCATCATTACTATTATTATTAGTCGTATTTCTACTATTACAGTTGTTGTTATTGTTATTATTGCATCTCTGTCTCTCTCTCTGTCTCCCTCTCGACACAACTAGTCGAGATTGATGGCTGCCCACCTAGCTGGGGTCTACTCAAGGTTTCTGCCTCTTAAAACATTTTTCTTTGCCACTCTCGCCAAGGAGTACAGTCTAGACCTGCTGTATTTGAAAAGTGTCCTAAGAAAACTTCTGTAATGATTTGGAACTATACAAAAAAATAAAAATATTGCATTGGATTGAATTGAAATGTGTACATTTCAACTAATAGATATTTTAAAGCAGTTGGCTGCTGCGCTAATGGCAGTATCTTAGTGTCTTTCAGCTTGCTATTTAGGTTTTATGGCCTGTGACTTCACTGTTTTGCTTTACCCTCACCCCTGTCATTAATCCTGTTTCCAGCTGCGTCAACCAGCTGTTTTCAGCAAAAAAGAGCTCTATACCACCTGCTAAGCACCAAACAGCATGCTGAAAAGGTTAGCAACTAGTGGAACATTCAGCTGCGAAAGACCCAATTATATTGTATAGTGAATAGTGGACTTCCATCAGTAGATGTATGCATATCTGCTGTATGTGTCAAATAAGAAACCCGTTTCTAACACATTAGCCACATTCACAGGTGACAACATTCACAGGTTGGCACCTGTTAGATGTGAGTGAGGCTTAGCTTGTTGTTGACTTCTGCCCCCAAGTGGCCAAAAAAAAAGACAAAAAGATGGTATTAAACAGTTATTGATTAAAAATAAGCAGCAAAAATACATGGCATTAAAACATTTGTATTTTTTCAGATGGTATCCCCAAACCTGGATGTCTTACTAAAATATGACACACTTTGGAGTTTACTCAACATTCCTCTCCTGGAGGGCTACTTATCTGTGATGGATGGAGATCCCCTGCAGGAAGTGGTCAAGGCAGTCATAGAACAGTATAAATCACATGTGCAGCCAAAAATCATCTCCTTCCAAAAAGGTAACAGAACAAATCTACATTTCTTATACTCTGTATTCTTTTGGTTTATTATTAAATTATACTGTTACTGTATAATTTGGATTTACGTCAAAGCACCGCTGTGCCTAAGCACAGCCTCAAAGAGCTGCTACCATGGCTGTAGACTCTTAATCGCGTTATATTAACAACGAATGAATATGAATAATGTTGGGAAAATAAACAAACAACCGTTTGCTGATACTACTGTGCTGACCTTTATTTAAAGGTCCAGTGTGCAACATTTAGAAGGATCTATTGGCAGAAATGGAATATAATAGTGTATAATGAATAATAGTGTATTCATTAGTGTATAATCACCTGTAAATAAACGTGTTGTGTTGTTACCTTAGAATGAGCCTTTTATATCTACAGATCCCTTCACTGAAGGTCACTATGTTGAACTGACATGTTTCTACAGTAGCCCAGAATGGACAAACCAAAAACTGTCTCTAGGTAGGGCTTTTAAGTGTTTATTACGGGTTTACAGGTGTTTTAGTTGCCTAACTTTACCCATAATTGATTTGCCAAAACCACAACATCTATCATTAACTATAGCTGCCATATAAAGATATTAGAGAATTTGTTTTTTTAATATTAATTGAATATAATCCAGAGTTTGACAGAACCATTCAATATCAACATTCTTGTCTGGTTATATGGGGTTTTCACCCGTAAGAGTTTATTATTATAGATTAAATTGACCAGGACAAATGTAACAGAAGTAACTAGAGCTAAATACCTCTACTCTTTATGGTAAGAGACGCTTTATGGTAAGGTCATGAAAATGGTGCAATTACCTCAAATGAAGGTACTTTTTTTCCCCCACAGCATCTTTACAACTAAGTACTAAGTGTTTCTATGTTGTCTTTTACAGGAATAATACATGGGGACTTAAATGACCAGAACATCATTGTCATACCTATTGACACCGGGCATCATGAGGTGTCAGGTATCCTGGACTTTTCTCTGCTCGTGAATGGATGCTATGTGTTTGAACTGGCAATAACAATCATGTACTTGATGCTGGAGAACCCCAGTCCACTGGATGTAGGTGGAGCAGTGTTGGCGGGCTGGGAGAGCATTATGCAGCTCAATGATGATGAAAGAGATTCCCTCTTCCTGCTGGTGCTTGGTCGGTTGTGTCAGTCTCTGGTTTATGGACGGCACAATGTCAAAAAATACCCAGACAACAAGAGTTATATACTGACTACAGCCAAAAGTGGGTCTCGGCTTCTTGTTAAACTCTGGGAACTTGGCAAGAAAGAAGTAGAAAGGAAATGGTTCTCAGATGCCAGAACATTCTTAGTGAGTAAATAGAGAAATGATGGGTTCCAATGGATCAATGGAAGAGAATAAAGATTTGCCTCGGTGTGCTTCAAGTTTTTGTATATCTTTTTTTTTTTTTTTACATTATCACCCTTATTTGATGGTTATCAGTCAAGATAAGATAAGAAGATAGACCAGAAACATGGGGGAGACATAGGGAGAAACCAACTCAGAGAGGGGGGGGGCTTAGCCACCGCGGGCGCGTGGGTAGTAACATTAGTCGGGGAGCGAGAGCAAACGCCTTCAGCTGCTCACAAGCCAACGTTAGCTTTCATCCATAATGTGTGCTAGCAAACAAAGACACATACTCACCACTAGCGCCGCTGACGGCCGCCGACTGCAATGTATCCATCCCCACACTGCCATTCTTATTGGCCTGACTCGTCGATTTAGGCCAGACTACTCGGTGCTTCTCTTGGCTGCACTCTCAGAAACTTCTGAGAGTTAACATAAATATGAACGTAAAATGTTGCTGCTTCCCACCGTCATCATGTTGATGACGTGCTGAGAGCTCAACGTACACGTCCCAAAACAGATAATAATAATTCATAAATTCCTCCATTAATAACTGTCTATAGGACATCCATTGGAAATGAATTTGTGAGTTTTTTATGGAACATCTGCTAACACAGTCACTAATCGCTAATACATGTCTGAATAGTGGATGTGCAAGTGCATGCAGAAATGTACATCTAAATAGTTTGTTCATCATTTACATACACTTTCTAAATGATATTACAAACCACTGACAAATCCTAAATAACTCGTTAGTAAGTGATGTAATACTTGATTTAGAAATGCTGAATCCATCATTTATAAAATATGAAAATGCAATCATTAGCACGTTATAGGTGAGCTTATTAATGAAGAGTAAAACATTTATAACTGTGATTATAAACCACATAGTAATGAGTATTTACGGCAGAAACATGCTTTATAAATGATGAATTCAATATTTATTAATGCTTAACTAATGCTTAATAGTGTGTACTCATTATAAAGTGTTACCAAAAGCAATTCAGTGCATTTACTCTGTACCGTAGTACTTAATTGTTCTACTCCATTACATTTCAAATGGAAATATCCATTGCATTCATTTGAGTGCTACATTTCCTACAGTTGTTGCTTTGCTCTTCCATGGAGGCCGCCATGTTGAACCGCCATGTTTCTACAGTAGCCCAAAACGGACAAACCAAACACTGGCTCTGGATAAGGCCTTTCATGGTCTCGTACACATTTGGAATAGGAGGGTGAGGCAGTGGGTTGTAATCTGCAACTTCACCACTAGATGCCACTAAATTCTACACACCGATCCTTTAAATTTTACATAATTCAGACAACTCCAGTTTCATAACTTAAAAGAAAAAAAACCCAGAATTAATAGAATGTAGACTACATGAAAAATTTAACTAAATAGTTTTCCTCCAAATTTACAGTAAATGAGATGTATCTACCTTAATAATAACAACAAAAGACTCATCTCTCTGTCTGAGCACACTTCCTTTGCTGTGGACATTCAGAAGCTGTGGTGCTTCAATAAGAGAGGGATGAACACTAGATGGAGACATCATCCAACTTATCCCACATCCTGCACAAAAGCACCCTTTTTGTGAATCAGACTTTCAGACTCACACTCAAGCATAAAAACATTTGAGTAAGTTCAGAAATTTCTTCTGACAGTCCTGAGTGATATGGAAAGACTTCATACAGTATCTGTAATTTGTGGAAAAGCTTATGAACTAAGGCTGACCTCTTCAAAAGCGTGAACATATGTCCATCTCTACATTTTTTAGAACAAGAATATTCTCAAAGAGCTTCTTTTACACACTCGAGACCGAGTAATTGACAAAATCATGGTTCATTAGAGTTTAATACCAGTATCCCTCTTAGTAAACCCTGATGATACAGTCTGGAGAATAAATGCCCAACTTCAGATGAAATTGTAAAAGAAGCAAGGGTTGTTTTTCCTTCCACTGTATTTCACCTTCAAAGCTGCTGTTCTCCAAACACCTCAGCCAGAGCCTTGTGTCAACAACACCATCACACTTCACACACACACACACACACACACACACACACACACACACACACACACACACACACACACACACACACACACACACACACACACACACCTCGTCTACCTTTCTACATTTCAACCTCCCACCTCAAAGGCACCATCTGCCCTCTGCCCCCGCTGCAGCTCGCGATATGTACCTCCAGTCATGCAGAAAAAGTCACAGTGTGCGTCTGTGAATGTCTGCCTGTGTTCACGTTTGTTCTCCGTCTGTTTCACTGCAGCATTCGAGCTCAGCGAGCCTAGAGAGGCATATATCTGAACCTTTGCACTGTTTCCCTTATAAGACACAGTCCCTCCTCTTTCCCTTTCTCTTTCTTCTGCCTTTTCTCTTTTGGCTTTTTGTAATACTTTAAATCCATGTTCCACAAATTATAGCGGAAATAGAAATGGCAACACTCAAAGGACTTAGCTTAATACACCAACCCTACTTATCAGTGCCATTAATCCTCTTGGCATTTCAAAACAGAGTGCTGGGTCTACACTGCACCTTTTTTAAAATACAGCAGAGAAATTTAATTTACACTCCAAAGACCACCAATCTGCTGGCTTTTAAAGTCAGAATTTAGTGTTTAAGAAAATGTGGTGAAGCCATTGTCGGGCTTCTTTACTCTTTCTTTATTTCTTTTCTTTATTTTACGTAAAATATATATATGTTAATATTCTTACAGCCTATTCAAATAAAAGTCAACAAGGTGCAGTACAGTGAAAAAAGAATAACAGAAAACAAAAGCAGCTGGAAAGTGAGATCACCTTCTATAACTACTGTCCAAAATATTTAATCTCTGCTTTGTTATTTGTTACTTAATTCTGGGTGAGCATATCATGTGAATGCCTAAAATGTAATTACACAGCAAAGCCCTCCAGTAAGAAATATATTTTTAATAGAAAGGCAAGTTTTTAAAAGGTAAACAACTCTAAAGCCACTAATTGCAATGGCCTTGAAGGTGTTATTATGGATATTCATTGTTTAAATTATGATTGGATTACTAACAACATTTTTTAATAATTAATTATACATTGAGTGTTATCCCTTACAGTAAATACATTTATGCAATCTAAAAATCATAACCTTTCTAGGATTTTCAGAGGATACATTGTCTCTAAAGAAAATAGAGAAAAAGTTGTTTGCCTCGTTTTTGCCAACATTGTTTAGGGTTTGATCGGTCCACTTGCCAGTCATAAGCCAGCTTCTCCAATAACGAGCTCAGTGTTACTGATTTCCATTAAAGTCAATTTCTGTGAGTGCGGTTCAGCTCCTCAGGGTCATTTGTCAGATGCTTTTGGACTTTCTGACCATGAATGTTCCCAAGCATTACTGAATGGAGTGAAAACATCCCCCTTAAACTTTTAGTCTTCACCAAAGAAAGCAGTGTATTCTTAAGAGACTATGTGTGTATTACACTGCATTCACTATATGTATATACTGTTCCTCGCTGTGCCCTTACTATTAGCTCAGCTGTCTATACTGTGTTTTAATGCAGCCAAATTTATGATTTAGTTCTTCTCATTTACACACTTTTCTGTCTTTAGATAAGTATGAAATATTTGATTGCAGCTCATAAATACTACCTGTTAATATGGAAGTAATGTTTTGTTTTGTTTTTTGACATTTCAATTATGTGATATGTGACAGAGAAAATTAAAGGCAATTAAACATTCTGCCCTCTACTCTGCACAGCCACAAAGGACCTCATTGTTAAATGAGCTGCAAATCCTAATATGCTTGGGAAACAAAAGTTGCCAAATATTTTACCAAAACAACTCTTAACTACATCAGAAATGTGACACTTTGGCTTTGAAACATTTCCGGTGTTTCCATTTCCATTTGAGCTGTGACTGAGTCTTACTGCAACCGGCAATAATGCGGACATAAGGTGTTAAAGCTGGCACATGTGGTCCTTCCCTACATCCACCTGAGAATAAATAATAAACAAGTCCCATGACAGCAAGGCTTTATCTTCTGTTGCGTTTGTTTATTTCGTGGAAAACAACTGTTAGTCTTTGTCTATAAAATGGATTCATCAGACGTGCAGCTCTTGGCCGTCTTGCCAGGCCTTTCGCAGCTGCCAAGCCAACCTGTTAGGACTAATTCACTTCATGGATCCCTGACAGACTCTCGTGTAATGCATATTAGCTTTATGCCCGGACGATCTATAGTGGCCAAGATGTCAGAGTTTGATACAAGGCTAATGGGTCTTTCTCTCTGTTAACAAAGATGTTGCTCATCTGTTATGCTAGTTGACAGTTTGGCAAGGTTCTGAACTAACAACTCTTACACAAAAAAAACATGTGTCCATTACTTAATTATGTAGCGCTTTATGCATGAGCGTGGTTACTTAGATGCCATTATCACCAACACGTGAGACTGAATTATACAAATTATTTTCTTTATCTTCTAAGTGAGAGAAATGCTCTGTTTTCTTCCTCAAATCTCATGGTGTCATTTGTATTCAAAAGAAAGCATACGTCTGGGATAAGGAAAGTCATGCTTAAAGTGTGACAACTTTCTAACAACAGAGGCATAATCGCAACAGCATCCAGCCCCTCAAACTATGTAAAAACAAAAGGGATGCTCGTCACAATTGGGAGAAAAGCTGAGGAGACACAGACCTCAATTAGTAAGCTGTTGTGGTTGCTCAGTGACTTCCCCCTTCTTATCAGTTTGTTTCAGAGTGTCTGGGCTTTGCAGATGGATTCTGGTCTCAGTCTTCTTTCATGAACTGTTCCCCATCAGACCTACGAAAACTCACCAATGGGAGCGCAAAAGAAAGCCATCAAAATGAATACATTAAAAACTTTCTCACATTATCACATGCCGCTTTTCAGTGGACGTCTCTAAATTTGTTGTAACAAGCGTCATGGCAGCCTATCTGCACGGAACAGGTGGGAAGCACAGCGGCCTCTCGGAGCTCCAACATTAGGGAGGCGCTTAGAGAGGGGTGGCTAATCGATTGGACAGACTGGATT